TCCCTTTTTATACCAATAGCATCTCCGCAATTTAATCATTACTTCATATCCACTGTTGTCAAATTGCGTGACAATTAAGACGACGCAATTGTGGCAAGGACCCACCGTCACCGTAGCTCTTGACTTGTAATAAAGCGGCTTCCATTTTATTATCCACTTAACAACCGAATCATTTTTATGAATGAATAAAATAATAAGCGAACGGATGAATGTCCACCTTCCTTACCACAAATGAACAGCGTCTCTTGTGCCATTACTTTCATTGCCATCATTGTAAGCACACCTTTCATCCTTTTAAGTTAGCGGTGGTTGCGGAGTGGGATTCTCTCACACCCCCGTAAATTGCACCTGTTTTCCCTATTTCCACAATTCTACACTATTTCATCTTTCTCCATCATCGCTTTTTCCTAATATGTTCTTTTATTTCCTTTGAGTCAAAATTATTCCTATAAATTAGAGGAGTTTTTTGTCCCCTTTGAATCAAACAGTTGATTTTACTCTGTATCTGGATGAATTCATGTCGAAGCTTGCTTCGTTAGCACTGGTGTCTGCGGTGGGAGGAGGAGATGACGGCAGCATGTGGATTTCATTTACCTCACTGCCTGCTATTTAAAAACACAGCATTAAAGTTGAAGGTAGGTACCCTACATAGCTAGCCATATTTTAATGCACACCTGAGCATATCCAATGTCTCGCTAACGTCGACGTAGCATGCAATGAGGAGGTGTTTGGAAGAAAGATGAATCTGCAATTGTTGCAGCTGATGCTCCTCGGTCTCCGCGGTTCGTACGTTATTTCAGCCGAATGCCTTCTGAATAGTCTGGTCCCACATCCCTTCCACCTTTGATCAGTTTAAATTTCACTACTTCTGCTTACAAGTGTGTCACCTGTAAACTAAATTTGCTGCTACTTTTAAGGGTGAAATATGGTGACTTGGGAATGGATTCACAATGACGCCCTTAGTATCTGATGAAAAGACAGGTTTTAGCTCATTAGAGTTAGCCAACGATAGCATATTTTGCTTAAAGTAAAAAATAACATTTATAAGTTCATTAGCGAAGACGCTACAGAAGGCCTCATTAGGTAGGATTAGCGTAAGGTACGCACAGGGTTGAACAAAAACATGGTTAGCGATCACATTGACGATTTAGTTGATATTTTGATGTGACTGATCAGGTGGGTCAATTATGCAAGGCGGACTAAATGAAAGTGATTTGAGATTTTTCTTTATCATTCTGCAGTCCTCCTTTTTTTTCTGCTGCCACTTTCGGAGTTCTTGCAGTTCACCCCATCAAGAAAAATGATGCACTAACACGATGCATGGTCTTGGCGGCAATCCATGTAGGTACGCGTTGGTACAAATAGACAAACCCCAGGGGCAAGCAAAATATTGGGAGTAGTTGCCACTTTCTAAACTAAAAAAGGCAAATTCTCTTTGTACCGGGCGATCGAAATGGGTTGGCATAACCACCAGTAGCAGCCTCTGTGCGAGTTAAGTGCCAATTAAGTGGCAGTGGTGCATGAGGATGCGACTTCCAGTGCTCCCCAACCCAACAACTGCCTTCCAGGCTTTTAACAGTATCAGTGCGCCCTAGTTTCGCAGGACTGCTTCAAAATAATTCAAGCGTCAGGTAATCAAGGGCGTTAAAAGAGGAAAAAGGCTTCTGAAGCATATCCAACAGTGCACTATACCTAAAATGTGATTTGATAAGCTCTGATCTTATATAAATGCAACGGCGAGCACACTGACACACTCAAAATATTGCATTTCTTTCTGAAATAAATAACGTGATAAAACAATACGTAAATAAGCGAAAGTGGAAACTTGAATTAACAACAACGATTAATACGTGCGTAACCATTCCAAACCACACTCAACCTAGTAGTGAATGCTTATTATCAGTACTATCCAATTCAACCTACTAATAATGGTCCATCTTACTAAATGGAGGTATATTATTAAGTCTCTATGCACATGAAATAATGTTTAGCAAGTGAAATCACTTGGTAACAGAACGTCTGTGGCTATGACCCAAGACAGTAGGCTGAAAAACTGATTCAGGTTTTGGGGACAGGTGCATCCTGGAGTGCCCAAAAGGCATATTTGGGTCTACTGGTAAATTAGCAAGATGGAGAAGATTGATTTACTGAAGTGATCTGTGGGTGAAGTGGGACTTACCTGATCGGTAGGCTTTAGTAAACTTCTGTTTTGTAATGATAAAAATTACGGAGGAGAGAAACGATTGAAATCTTGATATCGAACCAGTTGTGGTAATAACAAATTTTATAAATTACGATGGGCAAAATAACAAGCCTCACTTAAATTAAGCTTTAACTTATTATAATTCCTTTTAAAATGAAT